GCAAGAGGATCACTTGACTTTAGGAGTTCAAGACCAGTTTGAGCAACACAGTGAGACCTCGTCTCCAAAAAAAAAAAAAAAAAAAAAAAAAAAAAGAGAGAGAAAAGAAGTTGAACATTTAGAGATCTAGAGTCGATTCTTGTGCCTAAGTCATCATGTTGGTAACAACAATATCCCATGTATATACACATAAGTGACCCAGATTTGGGAAGCCAATGATAAGTTGCAGTTTAGATATGCTGAGTCTGAAGTAGCCAAGGGGCATCCAGTAGTGACTGACAGTGTTTAGGCAGTTGTTTGTATGGTTTGGAGATCAGATTAGGCTGAGTTATTAGCATGTAGGTGAAGGATGATTGAGGAAAGGATTATAGAGCAAGAAGATGCTTAGGATGGAGCCTTGGGGAATACCAGTACTTACAAGGCAAGAAGAGGGGTCCAAGACTGTAAATAGCCAGAGAGGAAGGAGAAAAATCTGAGAAGGCAAGCTGCAAAAACTCAGGCAGCAGAATGCTACAAGAAGAAAATACTCATCAGTATCAAATACTGCTGAGAGGTCAGGTAAAACAAAGGCTGAAAAGTATCCACTGGTTTTTGAAACGAAGAGGACAGTAAGTGTGACATTTGTCAGAGGAGATTCAATGTGGTGGAAACAGTAGCCATGTGAACTTCAAAGGAATTCAACCTCATATAGCCAATCCTTGGAAACACTGGTGTTTTGTCAGCTGCAACAGTATTTCTTTTAAAAGCAACAAAAGTGGGCATTTTTCAATTGGTACACAAAGGAAAAAAAATCATTTTTGTATTTTCTCCTACTCATTTTTCTTAAATATTTGGTGCTGGTTGTCGTTTATGTATATTTAAATATAGCATAAGATGCTTTTGGATTTAGTAGATAGTGTATGTTTAGTTATTTCAGGATTATTATTAAGAGAATAATCCCAAAATAAACAGCATCATACACTAATGTAGTAATATATTTATCGTATTTCTTAAAGAGTACCAAGACTTTCAAGTACTATCCCCATCAAGTAAGAGAATCATAGCCTCAGAATAGTTTTTAAAACCACGTTCCTTTCTCTTCTATTTCTCTTCCCCTTTTCCTGTCTGTACTCTGGGCTGCAAAGAGATGCTTTTGCCCCACTGTCAACAGGTAGCCCAGCTTAAATTTAAGCCCAGCTTAAATAAGTTTGGGAGACCAGGGCGTACTCACAGAGGAAAGGATGAAAAGAACTTTGAATGTCATCTAATCCAGTGGTGTCCAAATCTAGCTGAACATCAAAATGGACAGCCCGGAATGTACATTAAAAAGACAATTCTGGGTTCTTGCCCTAGATCCGATTCCAGAAGAGCATCTGCTATACTTTCGTTTTGGGGAGGTTGGGGTGGGGCTTGCTTTTCCGGGTTCTTCAGGCTCAGAAGTGGACTTTCTCCGCGTTCTTTCTCCGCAGGAGATGCCGTGCACTGGCGGTTCTGCAGGTGCGACGCCTGTCACTCCCCAGTGCTGATATCCTCCCGGCACCTTCCTGAGCTTCACCTCCCGGCACAGTGCTCCGAAACGAGCGGAAGCCCCGCCCATCTACCCGCCCCGCGCTCTCCCTTCCCCGCCCCGAATCCGCCTGGCCCCGCCCCTTCACACGCCCTCCCCACGGCAATTCCTGGAAACTTGGGGCGGAGCTTCACTGCCGCCTGGTTTTTGCGTAAGGGGCGGCCGCCAGGCCGTTCCCGGAAGTTGATGGCCTTACAGTCGTGGAACTGATTGGCTGATCATGACCGTGCAGTTAGCCAAGGTTTTTCCGAGTTGTTTGGGTTGAGTTCAGGAGAAGCATGGCCAGGTCGAGTCGGTACCTACGCCAACTTCAGGGACCTCTGCTTCCACCCAAGGATCTGGTGGAGGAGGACGAAGACTACCTAAACGACGACGTGCAGGAGGATGAAGACTCCGTGTTCGTCGACGCCGAAGAGCTCTGCAGTGGGGGCGTAAAGGCTGGCAGCCTCCCCGGGTGCATCCGCGGTGAGGAAGCCCCCTGCCCCGGGGATGGGGTTGGAGGGTCCAACGTAGCGCGTCCCATTCTGGCTTTGTCCTGAGCAAGGCACCCAGTCGCTGCTAACAGATTTAGCTTCTCAATGGTCTAGCTGCTTCATCCTACTTCGGGTAAAGTTTTAACTATAATAGTGGCAGTGACTTTAACTGAGCACATGCTATGTGTTAAGCTTGCTGTATTAATTATTCTCATTCTCTTATTCGTCCTTCGAGGTAGTTTTACACTTGAGGAAACAGTGTTTGTTGAGGCTCTATTTCCACCCAGAATCTGAACTTTTTTCTTTCTGACCGCTTATCCTCAAGTTCTATGGAATGAGAACTTGTAACTATTAATCCTATATTGCCTGGAGTCAAATACGTGGTTCTTCCTCAGCTTCTTGGAAAAACAAAACAGGCGGGGTGCAGTGGCTCACGCACTTTGGAAGGCCGAGGCAGATGGATCACTTGAAGTCAGGAGTTCGAGACCAGCCTGACCAAAAGGATGAAACCTGTCTCTAGTAAAAAAGAAAAACAACAACAGCAACAACAACAACAACAAAACTACAAAATTAGCCGGGCGTGATATCGCACACCTGTAATCCCAGCTACTTGGGAGGCTGAGGCAGGAAAATTGCCGGAACCCAGGAGGTGGAGGTTGCCGTGAGCTGAGATTGCGCCTTTGCACTTCAGCCTGTGCAACAAGAACGAAAACTCCATCTCAAAAAAATAATAATAGTAATAATAAGGAAAGAAAGAAAAGAAAAACGAAACAAAACACAAAGAACACCTCAGTGCACAGATGATTATTAACTAGTGTTAGTAACCTTGTGGTTCGGGTAAACCTTGTGTAAGTAGTTTCCTGTGCTATAAGATAGTTTTCTGTGCTATAAGTTATACCCGTTATGTGTACTTTGTGACTGAGACTTAAAATATTTTAATGTGCAGACCAGTGATGTTCAGTAGAACTTTCCATGATGATAGCAGTGTTTTATATCTGCACTGTCTGGTATAATAGCCACTAGCCATGTGTAACTGTTGAGAACTTGAAATACAACTAGTGTAACTGAGGAGACAAATTTTTAGTTTTATTACATTTTAATTTAAATAGCCACATGTAGGTGGACAGTACAGATTTAGGAGAAAAGTTTCAAGTATTTGTGGAGGGCTTAGTCATTCATTTTGAGGTATCATCGACTGGCTAGCATGTTTGGTGCTGGGAAAACCTAGAGAAATATAATAACAAGGTTGCAGTCTTAATGAAGCTTACCTTCTAGTGTATTAAACAGACATTCTTTAATCACAGAAGTAACTATAATGTTACTAAATGCTTAGAAGGAATGCTAAATAGTGCTTTGAGAGGTTTTATACATGAGATTCAGGGAAGACTTTTCTAAGTAAGTGACAGTTAAGCTGAGGTCTGTAGTAAATGTAGTCAACAGTAAGGGGGAGATCAGTTAAGGCAGATGGAATAACTTGAGTGAAGGGCCATGGCATTTTCAAGAAACTGCATGAAGGCCAGTATTGGCTGAAGTCAGAGTAGCAGAGAGGGGACTGGTTTTAGAAGAGGAACAGCAGACACCTGCTGTGTACTGTGCTTGCCTTTTGGAATACAAAGACAAACGAAACAGTGTCCTGTTTTAGTATTTACAGTGTAGTAGAGGGAGACAGAAAAAGAGGTAGGCAGAATGCAGTGTTACAGGCACCCTAACAGACATCTTTAGAGAGTGCTGTAGGGAGATAAAAGATAGTGGTAAGTTTGGTAAAACTTTGAGGAAATGGTTTCTAAATAATCTCCAGAGTTAACTTTTGTGGGTTTTTGTTTGTTTTTTTTAGTTTTAATTCCTGATGAAAACACACAAGAGACATGTAAAGTGTTGGGACGTTTTCCGATAACAGGTGCTTGGTGGAGAGTGAAGGTACAAGTAAAGCCTGTGGTGGGATCAAGGAGCTATCAATATCAAGTTCAAGGATTTCCGTCTTACTTTTTGCAGTCTGATATGTCACCACCAAATCAAAAACATATCTGTGCTCTCTTTCTTAAAGAGTGTGAGGTCTCCAGTGATGATATTAATAAATTTTTAGCATGGGTAAATGAGGCATCAAACTACAAAAACCTAAACTTTGAAAATCTTAGGGAAACACTAAGAACTTTCCACAAGGAAACTGGAAGGAAAGATCAAAAGCAGCCTGCACAGAATGGTCAGGAAGAGTTGTTCCCAGACAATGAGATGAGCCTTCCTCTGGAAAACAAAAGTAAGTGTGATTGTTATCATCAAGTTTCAGTGAAATTGACATACTTAATGACTACAGTATTTAAAATATTACCACTAGCATAGTATTCCTTTTAAAAATCCATTTGTTGAAAAATGTGTTTATGTTGCTTTTGGAGTATGCCATTGATATTTCAGGTTTCTCATCTGTAACATGAAGGGATTATATGAGCTGATCTTTAAAATCCTTCCAGTTCCTTTCCACCTCTAAAATTGTGATTTTATCTCTTTCTCTAACTTTTGTACTCATAGAGATTACCTTGAATCATTAATAAAAAAAAAAAAAAATCAGTTGCTGGCCAGATGTGGTGGCTGCTCATGCCTGTAATCCCAGCACTTTGGGAGACTGAGGCAGGAGGATCACTTGAGCGCAGGAGATCAAGACTAGCCTGAGCAATATAGTAAGACCTTGTCTCTACAAAAAAATTTTTAAAAATTAGCCAGGTGTGGTGACACATACTTGTAGTCCCAGCTACTTGGGAGGCTGAGGCAGGAGGATCACTTGAGCCCAGAAAATGGAGGCTGCAGTGAGCCATGATTGTACCGCTATACTTCAGCCTAGGTGACAGTGAGACACTGTCTTAGTTAAAAAAAAAAAAAAAAATCAGTTGTAAATTATTCTGTTTAAAGAGATAGAGAAGAACAACAAGGATATGAATAATATATTTAGGAAATACTTCAGTCCAAAATGGTTTCAAATAATTTTTAATATGATTTGTTATCTGGACATTCATATATATGGAATATTTCATTTCCTAATTGTATCAAATAAATTTGATGGTACATCAATGAATGACTTCAGTGACAAAAGATTGTGATTATAGAAAATGATTATAAAGGTTACTATGTAAATTACTTATTTTATATCCTTAGCTTTAAATTTATATAATTGAGTCAGAATTTTTGTTCTGTTGTAGTGCAGACAGTAGGAAACAAAAGGCTAAGAAATCATTATTTAAGCATTTAAAGAACATAAATTTTCGTGTTAAACACAATGAAAACCATCTCAGTACAAAAGCAATTGTCATAATATGATTAAAATTGTCTTACTGGTTAAGGCAAATGTACTAATCTGTCTTTGACTTGGATTTCTTGAATTGGTTGTGCAAAATGAGAAAGTACTTCAAATCAGTCATTCTTTGGATTCATTTATGTTTTACTTTGTTCTTTTCTGATATTTTGTAGTTCCATTTAGAAATGTAATGACAGCTTTGCAGTTTCCGAAAATAATGGAATTCCTTCCAGTTCTTCTGCCTCGACACTTTAAATGGCTCATAGAGTCAGGTTCTAAAGAGATGTTGAAAGAGATAGAAGAGATTTTAGGTACACATCCGTGGAAACTTGGATTTAGTAAAGTAAGTAAAACGTTTGCTCAGCATATAGTAATCTTGTGTAAGGCCTGGTTTCAAAGTTGGCAGTTTTTCCTTTCTCTTTCAAAGGAAAAAAATTTGTGTGGACCCCAGTACTGATTTATTTTTATTCAAATGTTGCAACTGTACATAAACTTCTTATGGCTATAGCATAAGAACATTTTATAAGTAGTTATGCAACTTATAGAGTTGCATACATTTGTAATTGAAAAAAAATTGATGACATTCAAATTATCGGTATTAATTTAGTTGTATAATTTAATGTGACCAATGTCCTGTAATTAAATTGTCATTTGCAACTTGAGTATAGATCTCATTGAGGTCAAAAGCTCTTACAAATTTGGCAAGTCCATTCTGCTGTGCAACTCAATGTCCCACTTCCAGTTTGAACTGTTGACAATTTTCATTATTCATGTGATATATCATGATGCCATTTGATTTTTATTTTGTACAGTAACATCATTTATAAATGAATCCACTTCTGTTCTTATTATTAGAGACTATGTGTAGTAAAGGGACACACTGAGGCTCCAGTGGTATTGGAAACCAAATGTGGTATTTAATCTTGGTAGTTCTTGGTTATAAGGTGGTTTTCCAAAGAAAAATACAATTGAGAAACTCTGAGAAAATTCTTGGAACCTCAAGAATGTTTGCAGATGCTGAGTTTGAGAAATACTGGAATAAGGAATTTTTCCCTTACATAAAATGTCTATAAATTCAGTATGCTTTTAAAGATGATATTCTGGAACATGAGATTATTATATATATTTATTCAGTGGAGAAGAATGGAAGAGCAATGATATGTAAAAGGCAGATAATAATAGTTTACCTTTTTGTTTAAAAAAACCCTGTAAAATCCAATGTTCTTTATAGAGATATTAAGAAGGGAAGATAGTTTTTTAGCTCTTTAGAGGTCTTTGGAGTCTGTTCACATTTCAATAATAAATTATATAACATTTTATTATTAACAATACACTTTGTGTTAGGCTAATATAATAAACATTTATTGAGACCTTACCAGTGTAGAATGGAGATGCCATCAGGCCCTTACTCTCACTCTTGCTAGGCTCACTGCCTTCCTGGTGAAGCACAGACTTTGCGTTTTTCTTTGTGGTCAAATGAGTTTGAGGCTATATCTATCAAGATCCTAGGGCCAGCCTTCTTCCCTCTCTGCCACTATCCCTTTCTCTCTACCTCTTCTTTTTGTTTTTTTTTTTCCCACCCAGGCTGGAGTGCCATGGTGTGATCTCTGCTCACTCGAGTCTCCGCCTGGTTCAAGTGATTCTCCTGCCTCAGCTCCTGAATAGCTGGGTTTACAGGCGTGTGCCACCACACCCTGTATTTGTAAAAACACAAATAATTTTTGTATTTTTAGTAGGCACAGGGGTTCACCATGTTGGCCAGGCTGGTCTTGAACTCCTGTCCTCAAGTGATCTGCCCACCTTGGCCTCCCAAAGTGCTGGATTATAGGCGTGAGCTACCGCACCTGGCCTTCTACCGCCTCTAAAAAAAAAAAAAAAAAAAATTAAAGCATTACATATCAGCTGCTGTATTTTCTGCCTTCTGGATTAAGTGAACACCTGTTTAAGGAGCTGTTGAAGTCCTAGATTCTCTCCCCATGGTGGGCGTTAAGTGATTACTGCTTCCCACCCTAGCAAGTGGATAAAGATTTCTCTTGCCTGATGCCATTCAGCTGAGAGCATCCAGGCTTGGAGATACCAGGTGAGGATAAGGCAGAGATTATCTGGTGGTGACTCGGGTTTTTCATTAGGGAACAGTCCCTTCCCTCTCCCCATGTCAGGATCTGGAAGTGTTTTCTCCTGTCCAGTCACTCTTCTCAGAGAAGAATTGTACATGGAGAGTTTAAGCCTAGTTGCAGCATTCTGGGACTCATGAGAAAAAAAGGAGGCCTGAGGTCCCACCATTCAGCATGTAAACCACTATCCAAGTATTGTGTTAGTTTGCTGGGGCTGCCAGAACAAGTACTGCTGACTGGATGGCTTAAACAACAGAAACTTTTTGTCTTACAGTTCTGGAGGCTACAGGTCTGGGTTGATTTCTTCCAAGGCTTCTCTCCTTGGCTTGTAGATGGCTATTGTCTCTCATTATGTCTTCACATGGCCTTCCTTTGTTGCTAGTCTATGTCCTAATCTCTTCTTCTTATAAGAATACCAGTCATATTAGAGTAGGGCCCATCCAGAGGACCTCAATAAGGTGAATGGTCCCCTTTAACCTTAATTACCTCTTTTTTTTTTTTTTTTTTGAGACGGAGTCTCGCTCTGTCGCCCAGGCTGGAGTGCAGTGGCCGGATCTCAGCTCACTGCAAGCTGCGCCTCCCGGGTTCACGCCATTCTCCGGCCTCAGCCTCCCAAGTAGCTGGGACTACAGGCACCCGCCACCTCGCCCGGCTAGAATTACCTCTTTAAAACCCTGTCTCCAAATATAGTCACATTCTGAGGATATTGGGGGTTAGGACAGGACATCAACATATGAATTTTGCGGGGGACACAGTTCAGCCCATAAAAGGTATGGAGGGCTCAGGAGTGATGTCTCCATCAAGGAAAAATGGAGCCGATAGATGATATGCTCAGTACATTATAGTGAAGGGAGTTCTGTCTCTTCTGTAGAGTTTAGGCAGAATTGTTGATAGACACGTAGAAAACTAAACAAGCCAAGAAAATGAGGCAGATGTTAACTTCATGATACACACTGAGTTCAACACAAAACTTAATGTAGCAGAGTACATCCTGTCACTCAGCTGTGAATCCTATTTGCATAAGCATAATAAATACCTATTTAACCAAAATTGAACAAAATGTATACTACGACATTTTTCAAATATAGGAACCAAAGAAACACCTGTGGAGGTAATGGTATAAAATAGAATGACCTTCCATAGAGATAGACTTTCCATATTAAGGAGTTAATAATACATATCTAAAATCTTTTAAAAATCAAGGGAAAATATCTACAGTACTTAGAAATATGGAGGTAAATTCTGGAAGAAATAACTAAAGTGTTGGAGATGTTGCCTTTAGAAGGCATGTGAAGAGATAAGGAAAGGATTCGTATTTTTTGTGATAAGCCTTATAGTATTATTTCACTTTTAAAACTGTGTTAGTGTGATAAAATATAATTTTTATTTAAAAATTTTATAGATCTCTAATTACAGTGCAGCCAGTTAAAAAATAGTGATCTATGGTATTTTCTGCAAATTTCATTGAAGTTCATGTCTTCTGGGATTTAAAAATTATTAATAAAGAATGTATTCATAAACACTTATGATGTTTATAAACCAACCTGAACTTTATTTCTTAAAGATAACCTACAGAGAGTGGAAACTGTTGCGATGTGAGGCAAGTTGGATAGCATTTTGTCAGTGTGAGTCTCTCCTCCAGCTGATGACTGATTTGGAGAAGAATGCATTAATAATGTATTCCAAACTGAAGCAGATATGTAGAGAACATGGACACACATATGTTGAAGTGAATGACTTAACTTTGACATTGTCAGATCATATGTCATTTCATGCTGCTTCGGACTCTCTGAAGTTTTTGAAGGATATTGGTGTGGTGACATATGAGAAGGCCTGTGTCTTCCCTTACGACCTTTACCAGGCTGAAAGAGCCATCGCCTTTTCAATTTGTGACCTGATGCAGAGGCCTCCTTGGCGTTTATGTGTCGATGTCAAAAAGGTGCTTGCTTCTATTCACACCACAAAACCTGAGAATTCAAGTGATGATGCATTGAATGAGAGCAAACCTGATGAAGCAAGATTAGAAAATCCTGTGGATGTTGTGGACACACAGGACAGTGGTGACCATATTTGGACTAATGGTGAAAATGAAATTAATGCAGAAATAAGTGAAGTTCAGCTGGATCAGGATCAGGTTGAAGTTCCACTGGATCGGGATCAGGTGGCTGCTTTGGAGATGATTTGCTCCAATCCTGTGACAGTCATAAGTGGGAAAGGTGGATGTGGGAAGACCACAATCGTTAGCCGTCTTTTTAAGCATATAGAGCAGTTGGAAGAAAGAGAAGTAAAAAATGCCTGTGAAGATTTTGAACAAGACCAGAATGCTTCAGAAGAATGGATTACCTTTACTGAGCAAAGTCAACTAGAGGCGGGCAAAGCTATAGAAGTTTTGCTCACAGCACCTACAGGGAAAGCAGCTGGCTTACTAAGACAGAAAACTGGTCTTCATGCCTACACACTGTGTCAGGTAAAACCTTTGACATTTCATCTGTAGATAAAACATTTGTTGGCTGGGTGCAGTGGCTCACGCCTGTAATCCCAGCACTTTGGGAGGCTGAGGCGGGCAGATCACAAGGTCAGGAGATGGAGACCATCCTGGCTAACACGGTGGAACCCCGTCTCTACTAAAAATACAAAAAATTAGCCAGGCATGGCGGCACGCACCTGTAGTCCCAGCCATTTGGGAGGCTGAGTCAGGAGAATTGTTTGAACCCAGGAGGCGGAGGTTGCAGTGAGCCGAGATTGCGCCACTGCACTCCAGCCTGGACAACAGAGCGAGACTCCGTCTCAAAAAACAAACAAACAAACAAAATTTACCTTAAAGACAAACTTATTTCTTAAAGCAATCGGTAGGTATTTATTGAATGTCTCCTGGGTCCCTGTCTTGCGGTAACTAATCATTTAGATCAATGCTTTTCAAAGCAGCCAGTCTGTAAATTGTTACCAGTTTACACGAGAAAGGAGCTAATGGTAGAAGTAAATCAGTGCACTGCTTCCTTCCTTGAGAAAGTCTTATGGAAAGAAAAAAAAAAAAACAAACAAAAAAAAACTATCGGGTCCAGTGCTGCGGTTCCTGCCTGTAATCCCAGCACTTTGGGAGGCCACGGTGGGAGGATCACTTGAGCTCAGGAGTTTGAGACTTGCTTGGGCAACATAGTGAGATCTCCATCTCTACAAAAAATTAAAAAATTAGGTGGGCATGGTGGCATGCACCTGTAGTTCCAGCTACTCAGGAGGCTGAAGTGAGAGGATTGTTTGAGGCTGTGAGGTCAAGGCTACAGTGAGCCGTGTTTACACCACTGCAGTCCAGCCTGGGTGACAAGGTAAGACCCTGTCTAAAAACAACAACAAAAAAATCAGTCCCACTAGAGTGTAGGCATAATGATATAGTTAGTTTAGATCCTGGTACAATATCTGTTTCTCATGGGGGCTGGTTACAAACATGTCACAGTCCATAGACCACATTTTGAGTAGCACTGGAAATGGAAGTAAAAGGCTTATATTTTGTAGGATGAAAGTGAGGACTTTGCTCATCTGGTATAAATCTTTATTTCTTCCACCTGGAACAGTGCCTGACAAATAGTAGTCACACAATAAAAATTTCAAATAAATTAACATTCTTGAGAAAAAAAATAGTATTGGCTATAATTAAGAATTATGGAGTTTAAGCTTGTAAAGAGTTGGAGAGGTTCCTCTAGCCCTAGGCCTGACCTGCCATTTTATAAAGAAACTTGGTAGTTCGAAGATTTCTAAAGAAGGTAATCATTGAATTGGACTCCAAGGACCATGGAGACTCAGGTGAGGGGAAGGACATTGGACTTACAGGAAAGGCCTTTGCAAAGGCATCGAGGAATATGATCATAGTGTGCACAGAGGGTTTTGGGGTGATTTCATTGACTGGAATGAAGCCCATGTCTGACAGAATAGTGGAAATTAAACTTGGGTTAGACAGTCAGTTAATTCGAGCTTTAAAGTTTGTAAAGTATTTTGACTTATCTCATTACATGCTTGATAAAGTGATGTTATCTCCACATTTACAGAAGAGCCAGTTGAAGTTTGGGGATGTTAAACATTTTGCCCAGGATCTCAGTTAGGTGTAGAACTAGGACTTGAAATGGCTTTCCAGCTTGTTGTTCTTTCCATGGCATCATTATTTCCTCATTTATTACAGATGCTGCACACTAACAATGAAACTTGAACTTGGTCTCCTAGGGAGCCATTTAGGTTCCTAAGCAAGAAAGTGAAATGAGGAAGATCTTATAGAGTCGTAGAGCCATGAGCCACTTACATATCTTGCCTATTACCTCCATTTATCACATGAATGAATGGAGACCTAGAGATGTTCAGTGTAGCTTATCGGTAGGAGAGTTTTCTGATCAGTTTATGATTTTTTTTTTTTTTTTGTACTATGCCTTCATGTCTGATTAGTCTGAAGGATTGAATTAGAAGGGGACACCCAAAAGGGATTATTACCAAGTTTGATCTGATGTGTCAATTCTGATTAGTTGGTAGTATCTTAGTATCTGCTTGGGGTGCTGAGAGAATATTTCTGAAGCTATGTTTAGGCTCAGGAGAGAGTGTAAGAGCACAGAAAGAGCACTGGAGTGCCATTTATCATCCTTGGACTAGGGTTGCCAGATTTAGCAGATAAAACTATGAATAATTTTTTAGTATAAGTATGTATCAAATAATTCATTGACTTTCTTATACTAAAAAGTCATTTATTGTGTATTTGAAGTTCAAATTTAACTGAATGCCTTGTATTTTATGGGGCAATCCCATCCTGGGATTGTGTGTGTGGAAACCTGGCTGCAAAGCTATTGGAGTCATCAAGGTGCTGATAGATGGAGCCTGTATTGAGCTGATAGCACTGGAAATACAGTGAAAAGTATCAGCATTTTTAAGATAATAAATTGAATATATCATATAACAGAAAAGAAATGGCTAATTCCAAACGTTGTGAGACATGGCTACTGCAAGCACAGGGGGTTTTGGTGAAGGGAATTGATGCACTTGGATAGGAAATGTGAAGGCTTTACTTAATAGACATGTTGAATCTAGTTTTAGTGGAAAAATTAGATGATGATGTGATATGATACCATTTAGAAAATCTGTACTTAATACAGATTGAAAATTTGAAATGCTCCAGTGAGCGTTTTCTTTGAGTGTTACGTAAGTGCTCAAAAAGTTAAGGATTTTGGATTTTGAGTTTGTAGATTAGGGATACTCAACCTATAAATGTTCATACTGATGACATAGAAACATTTTTGGAATGACATACACTAAAATATTGAATGTTCTCTGGTTGTAATTTTACAACCATTTTTTTCCTCATCTATATTTAAAAAATAATAAATAGTATTACATTTGTAGTAAAGAATGTTGTTTTTTATTTGTTGTTGGGGATGGTGTGGTGGTAGTTTTTAGAAAGTTGAGGTGTGGAAATTTGGAATACTTAAAAGAAAAAGTAGTATTTTCATAATTAGATTGAGAAAGCGCTGCTTTTATTTCAGAATGGAGTACTATGGTTGGGAGAAGGGGAGGGCTTCAGTGGCGTGTCTCAGATGGCCACAAGGTTTATTTGGGAATGGAAAAGAATAGGGAGCTTTCTGTGTTTAAGAACGATGAGAGAAGTGTTGAGATTTTGGAACAATCTGACTTTTTTTTCATTTTTAGGTTTATTTGGTCTGTCTATTCTGCATGTTCAACCCTATAACTTTTGTGTTTCTCTACTTCCCACCCACCCCTGCCAATTTAAGAGTTTTGCCTTAAAATAACTTGCTATTAATTATTGGTTTTGTAGATTTTATAACCTGACTTTAGGAATGCCATACTTTGCTTGTAGGTCAATTATAGCTTCTATTCATGGAATCAAACAATGATGACCACAAACAAACCATGGAAATTTTCTTCGGTTAGAGTTCTGGTTGTGGATGAAGGGAGTTTGGTGTCTGTAGGAATCTTCAAATCGGTCTTAAATTTATTGTGTGAGCACTCCAAACTTTCTAAGCTTATTATCCTTGGTAAGTTAAAATATTGTTGGAATTCTGATGTCTATTTCAAAGTATTGTGGTTAGTTGGTTGTGTACACCACTTAGTTGGTTGTTTACACCAGAACTGATACTAAAGCTACACTAAGTTAAATCTGACCACTCTCCTAATCAGCTTGGGTTGTTCTGTTTTGGCCAGGATATTAGCAGGCTGGGATGTGAATGAAATAGGGTTGTGAAGGGTTACTGCTAATCACCTAAATGATGGCTATTAATATAGTAGAAGTGCCACAGATTCAGAGTAAATCAGGATGTGGATCATTTGGAAATAATAAAAAGTTTGAATTATAGACCACTTAAAAGTAATTTTATGATTCTAAGCTAATAAATTAGACCTCACCAGCCTCTTAAGTTCTTCCAATTCTGATAAGATTCAGTTAGATTCTCTTGGGTTGTCATGCTTTGTAGAACATATGATTTAATGGAGAAAAAAATAAAATCACAATTGGAGAATCAAGTTGTATATAAAAACTATTTTTTTTTTAGGTACTTGAGGATGTATTTTAAGCAGTTGATTCTATTAATGGCTTAAGCCTTCTCTCTGCTTCCCCCAGTACATGTTTTTCTTATATTTACGGCTTATTTGTTGCAAGCAAAAAATATTTTTGATAGAGCAGAACATCACTATAAGATTACTGGAATGTATCTGTTATCAAATGCATGTATTTGTTGTATATTTTGTACACTTATTTTATCTATTTGAGGCTATAGATTCTTCCACATTCAGTAAGACATTGAACATGATTGAAAAAGGGACTAACTACAATGTCTAAGGCTCGTTTTTTTTTTTCCCCCTAATATGTTGACTAAAACATATGCCTCTACCCAGTTTCCCTGTGGTTATAGGTCTGAAAGATGTTCAATTTAGATTTTGTCACCTTATTGTGTTATTACTATTTTTATATCTTATACTGTTTAAATGTTGTTTTTTGTAAAATATTTAACTTTAAACTCTTAAATAATTTTAAACAATCTTGGGGGTATTTTTTCTCAGAGTAAGTCTTCCTACTATATCTTTTTTTTTTTTCTTTTAGGTGACATTAGACAGTTACCCAGTATTGAACCTGGTAACTTGCTGAAAGATCTTTTTGAGACTCTAAAATCAAGAAATTGTGCTATTGAGCTAAAGACAAACCATAGAGCAGAATCTCAGCTAATTGTGGACAATGCTACAAGGTATAATATTACTAAGAGTTTGCATTTTCTGTCTGTTGTATTAGAAATTTTTTTTTTGGCCGGGCGCGGTGGCTCACGCCTGTAATCCCAGCACTTTGGGAGGCCGAGGCGGGCGGATCACGAGGTCAGGAGATCGAGACCATCCTGGCTAACACGGTGAAACCCTGTCTCTACTAAAAATGCAAAAAATTAGCCAGGCGAGGCGGCGGGCGCCTGTAGTCCCAGCTACTCGGGAGGCTGAGTCAGGAGAATGGCGTGAACCCGGGAGGTGGAGCTTGCAGTGAGCCGAAATCGCACCACTGCACTCCAGCCTGGGCGACTAAGCGAGACTCTGTCTCAAAAAAAAAAAAAAAAAAAAAAAAATGGCATTTGAATTAGAATGATTTAGTACAATACATTTACTATACCTTTTAGCAAAACTCTTCCATCCTTCAACTATAAACCTTTTGCCCTACAGTTAGAAAAGCAAAGTTAATGTTTTTCATTACTGGTCCAGCATAAGTTATTATTGAAATTTAAAAATGGATGAGGTTTCCTGATTTTAAAAGTATGTATATGAATTAAAATTGTATTAAGCTTAAGGACTAGAATAAGCCCAAGGGGAATGGAGATTTGGAAATACATGCAAGGGAGAATTGGGAAAGAAATATCCCCTAATTTTTGTGGGAGAAAGCTGAAAGCAAAAGATTGAATGTGGTATTTCACTCCTAGATGAATCCTAGAGGCACCCATGGCATCTTACTTCCCTTAAATAGAAAAGAACCCTTCTCTTCCTTTCATCTTTGCATAAGCCTTTGGAGTTATCCTCTGTCAGCTCAGACATTTGGTTTCTCCATAATCCATACATATGAAAATCACAGTCATTATTATTTCATGACATTTATTTTAATACAGTCATGCGCCACATAGTGTTCGGTCAACAACAGATTGCATCTATGACAGTGGTGCCATAAGATTATGAAACTATACTTTTAGTGTACCTTTTCTGTGTTTAAATATGTTTACATACACAAATACTTACCACTGTGTTACAATTGGGTACAGCATTCAGTACAGTAACATGCTGTGCAGGTTTGTACCCTAGGAGCAATAGGCTGTACCATATAGCCTAGATGTGTAGCCTAGGCTATACCATCTAGGTTTGTGTAAGTGCACTCTATGCTATTCACACAACGATGAACATTGCCAAATGATGCGTTTCTCAAAACATATCCCTATCGTTAATCGGTGTGACTGTATTAAAATCTCTAGATACAGTGGGACCTTTGAATACTGAGTCTATGTTAGTCATTGTGCCAAAATGTATGTCTGGTTTTTATTCTTTTTTACAAAATGTTTTGTTGCTTGAACATCTCCTAAGTAGGATGTAGCAGAAACTAGAAGAAGGGTGTCCAGTCTTTTGGCTTCCCTGGGCCACACTGGGAGAAGAATTGTCTTAGGCCCCACACTAATGACAGCTAATAAGCTAAAAAAAAAAAAAAAAAAAAAATCCTAAGCCGGGCACAGTGGCTCATGCCTGTAATCCCAGCACTTTGGGAGGATGAGGCAGGCGGATCCCCTGAGGTCAGGAGTTTGAGACCAGCCTGGCCAACCCAGTGAAACCCCATCTCTATTAAAAATACAAAAAGTTAAATTAGCTGGGTGTGGTGGCCGGCACCTGTAGTCCCAGCTACTTGGGAGGTTGAGGCAGGAGAATGGCGTGAACCTGGGAGGCAGAGCTTGCAGTGAGCTGAGATCACGCCACCGCACTCCAGCCTGGGCAACAGAGCGAGACTCCGTCTCAACAACAACAACAACAATAACAACAACAAAAATTAGCTGGGCATGGTGGTGGGCGCCTGTGATCCCAGCTACTCGGGAGGCTGAGGCAGGAGAATGACTTGAACCCTGGAGGCAGAAGTTGCAGTGAGCCGAGATCGCGCCATTGCACTCCAGCCTGGGTGATAGAGCGTGACTCCGTCTCAAAAAACCGTAAAAAAAATCTCATAATGTTTTAAGAAAGTTTATGAATTTGTGTTGGGCGGCATTTAAAGCCCTACTTGGCCTCATGTGGCTCCTGGGCCAGACAAGCTTGAACTAAAATACTCAAAACCTACTTTCTCTAAGCCTCTGTCTACCTTGGTGGATAAAACTGTGGGAGTAGAGGAGGAATTGACAGGAATAGGGTAGACAGTGTGGGTTCATATTAAGACATTAAGAAAACTAATGGAGTTGGATGTAGAATATTCTTTTCCTGTAATCTTTCTGCTTCTACCTAAAGGCCACCCCATTTTTGGTAGATGATTAGTCATTTTAAAGTCCAAGAAACTTGGAGGAATCTAAAGCATATTAGATGTCTCAGAACTCAATTTTATCTGAAACTCAGGAGTTCTTTTTAGTAACTCTTTCAATATCATTTGGTTCTAGCTGTGCTCCTTTCATCATTTTGTCTTAATCATAATGCTCAAATATTTATTGACTGTGAAGGATCCCTGCTATATACCAGGGGAAAGCTCCTGGAGATAGAAGGTGCTACATGCCTTGGGTCAGAAGTAAAACAGGAAATCTGTGATGATTCTTAAGGTCCCAATTAAATCTGGGCTATCGCCAGCAAGAATAGCCTCATTCCCTCTCTGTTCCTTTCCACTTTTGTTTGGGAAAGGGTGAAGAAGGCACAGTAGGGTACCACCACCTCTGATGACCAGGCTGCTGTTAGGTCTGGTCAAGGAGTCAGTCTTCTTCGAAATAACCATACCTTACTCTGGTTTCTGATATGATTTGCTAGTCTTGGAAAATATAAGAATGAAAGAAGGATGAGGAAGGAATAGAAGCAACTAGATGTGGATACTTGGTTCAGTTGGGAAACTGGGATTATATGTGGAATATACAGAGAAGAGAGGAGAATATAGTGTAAACATGTGGAAAAGGCCTGAACCAGTTCAAATTAATTTAAATAGAAAGGGATATGGAGTAAAATGGACCTATTTGCCTCCCAATTCTCCTGTTTTCTATTTTTGTGGCCTTGGGCAACCCACTATACTTGACTAAACCTCACATTGTTTACCTGTGAAATAAGGATAATACCTTCCTTGCATGGTTCTTTTGTGGTCTGGAGATAAATAGACCAGGTTTTCAGAATGGTGCCTAGTAAACCCTCTGATAATTTTTTTTTCCTGATCTTATTAGTTTGCTAAGGACTGATTGCTAACATGTAGTACTATAACTTTATTGTCTTCTATTATACAACTCATGTACTGTTTACAATGCATACCTGGATGACCCTTTCTCTCTGTTATCTATTAATAAATACTAATTATTATAGGACATTAGCTCTGATCATATATGAAGACATTTTTGGATGATAATGTTCTTTGTGCGTGTGTGTTATCTTTATTCAAGAATCTCAAGACGCCAGTTTCCAAAATTTGATGCAGAACTAAATATCTCTGATAATCCAACATTACCCATCTCAATTCAAGATAAGACATTTATTTTTGTCAGACTCCCAGAAGAGGATGCCAGTTCTCAGTCATCTAAAACTAATCATCACTCTTGTAAGTATAAACTTCTATGAGATGTAGGGTTAAGTATAAGTATTTAAGTTTTGTAACATAGTTATTAAATGACTAGTTATAATTTTCTTTGATGGTAAAGAGAAATAATGCTAGCAAAAAAATGAGACATTGAAAATAAATGAACTAACTTAGTAATCATCAAAAGCAGAATACTCTAGAGTTTTATAAAGAAGTAAGCTCTTGACACATAAATGCTCTGTAAATTTTGTTGAGTGAATAAATGGATGTAGGTGATTTTGTTTAAAATAAAGCAAAGCCCCAATAATTCAGGTTCATTTAGGAGAAAGTAAGTCTTAATTAATGAAGTTTTTCCTTCCTTGCAATTTGAAAAGGAAATACATTCATTTTGAATACAAATACTCAATGCTAATAAAAGCAAGCACTTTTATTTTGTTTCTGAAACAAAAATTGTGACTCAAACTGTTGTCAAGTTTAATTCCTAATAGTTCTGTTTTATAAAATGAGTAGAAGCATGGCTTCTAATTATGGATGTTAGGACGACAGCAGGACAGGGTTGAGAACGAATGTGGGACAGGAAGTCTTCTCCTTTATGTATATGACCTGTGTCATGTTACTTAACCATTTGTAAAATGGGAACCATAGTGGAACTCCCTGTGGAGCTATTATGAGGGTTGAGGGCATTCATCAGTTATGAGACACTCTATAAATATCAGTTTGATGTGACTAACAGATGTTATTAAATTAGCTATTGCAAGTGAATTTATTTAAATAGATTGAACCTATTAAATATTGATCTTTATTTTCGTTATAAACTCACCTAGCAAACCTTTTAAAAATGGTGTAATGGTTTTCTCAAAATTGACTTAGTAAAGGTTTAAATGATTATTATTGAGGACTTTTTGTAGTTGCCACTGTTCTCAAAGGTATATCCTTCCCACTTAACCACTTTCACTGTGTATGTGAAAGTGATGACATACAACTTTATCTGTTAGCCTTTTCCCCTTAGTGTGTGTGTGTCCCCAGTCTCATTTCCCTTGGGTTAATGATCATTCACATGTTACAGCAATGTGTTTAAATAAATGGGATCATACATAGTGTTCTATAATGTGCTTTTTAAAAATTTATTGTAGAAACTATTTTTTTCTTTCTATTTTTCATTCAGCAAATACTTATTGAGCTCCTGTTATGTACTAGATACAATAGATAAAGTAGAGGAAAAGATTTAAAAAATTGTCCCTGAGGTTATTGTGCTTTCATTCTAGTGTGGGAAACAGATAATTAAAAAGTAAACAAGGATAAATATATTTTCAAACATCAGAGTACAAAGAATCAAGTAGACCTAACTGAATACTTACTAGTGACCGATGAAATTTGTTGCAAGATTGCTTTAGATTGTGGGGGCCAATGGTTTGAGAAACAATACTCCTTAAAAAAAAAAGTCAACGATACAGGAATGTTTGAAGTAAGAATTAATGTTCCCTGGTAATTTTCCTTTCTCTTCTTCCCCCAGGACAATCCCATTAAGATTACACACACAGTAAAAGCTTGGTGTTTATCCTTTTAACCTTATTATATCCATATACAAACATATTTATTTCAGTTTTACATAAATTGGTTTGTATAAATTGGTTTGTTTTGTGACTTATATGTCACAAAACAATATGCAGCTTACAAACCAGTTTATGTAAAACTGAAATAAATATGTTTGTGATTTATTATGTATGTTAAATAATTAATAGCTAATGTTTATTCTCACAGCTTAGTTAATAGTAGGTCCTATTTACAGATGAGGAAAATGAGACTTAGTTAAACAGATCTCTTTCTTTGCCACTTCACTTAATTCTACCTAAAATATTGTTGGTTTTATTTCTGCTACCCATTCTTTGCATTAATGAGAGTATACTTTTTTAAAAAGTTGTCCATTTTAGACTGGTAGCAGAGCTTAACTGATGCTGCTTTTCTAAATTAAAAACTTCTGCTGGAAAATTAGTCTCTTCTTCAAGGAAATTGAGTAAATATTCCTCAGAGAAGCATATAGTACTTTTTCACTAATAATTAAGTTATTAAGTAAATTATGCCCATGATTACAAAGTACTAAGACCTAAGACAGGATTCATATTTGAGCTAGAATTTCAGAGATGCTAAAATGTGAGAAAAATGTATATTTCAGAATTAATAAAATACATTGTACATATCGATCTGTAAGATTTGGAGAAAGTGAAAAAAGCAAGGTATGGAACAGTGCCATCCTGTACATGTAAAAAATAACAGTATGCTGGGAGACCTTTTGAAATTCCTTCTCCAGAAGCCAGGGGTTGGCTGAGGGTGAGCTGAGTCTTGGCTGTTTTCTAGCGGTAATCCTTCCTTCATCTGAAAAATGAAGGGCTCAGCAGGCAGCTAAATTTGTCTTCCCAGAGCAGGGCATCACAAGGCATGGGCTTTTTTATTCCCTTGTGATTCTTCTGCTACTCGGGAAACACACATGGGAAAATGCTTGTATTTCCATGAGCCTTAGTTTTCATATTCACAATATGGATGTCATCAGAAGTGAGACTCCCCAATGGCTGTAGGGCATGAGCATCATTGGAATGGATGCCCCCACTATGCCAGGGTTAACCTTTTAGTTGCTAGATCATGGGGAGGTCTGGGGAGAAGGAAAGAGATGGTTGGGGTGGGGAGTAGAGCATTGTGTTTTAGGGGAGTGGCTGTTTTCCAGGTAATACGAAAGTATTGCTATGTTTTAGACAAGTACATGCCAGTTGAATATCAGCTCTGAATATAACAGCACCTACCACATGTGGGTGTCCTGCATATTAAATGATATAACATATAAGGCCTGTATATTGTCAAGTTGTAACTCATTACTAATATGATCACAAGGACTTAAAACAGGATGTTTTACATTAGTCATGCTGTTACACACTTTGTACTCCTGTTTATTTCTTAAATTCAGTGTTCATAAACCATCAGCAAATACACAGTGAGTCTATTACAAATGGGGAACTGTCCTGGCCAGGGGTTGACCTCTCTGTTGAGGGTGGATTGTCTCAGAACCCTTCTTTTCATTCTCTTTCCTATTGCCCTGGCTGATGTGGGGAATGAGGTTGACATTCCCATGATGAACTTGTATTCCATTTGGTGAGATATTTTCCCAGGGCCCCTTACCAGGAATTCCAAATTAGTTTCTTCATAGAAATTGTATTATAATTTGGTGATTTTCTGTGTTAACTTTTTTCTCTTGAATTATTAGGTTTATATTCTACAGTTAAAACTTTACTGCAAGAAAATGACTTACAAAATGCAAAAACATCACAATTTATTGCATTTAGAAGGTAAAGCATTTAAAATATTTTAATATTTTTAATCTAGCTTTTAAATCTCATAACTTATTAATATAGATCCTATTTGGATGGGAGGTTCCAATATTTCATCACTGTTAATTCTCTTTCTTATTTTGGGGTATGTCTTTGTTAGACATGGCAGAGTGCACTTTCTAAACAGAGCTCTTTCCACCAAGTATTATATTTAGAAGTTCATAGGGACTCTGAATGGAACAAAAGCTTATATTAAGATAAAAACTACAGGCTGGCCTTGGTGGCTCACACCTGTAATCCCAGCACTTTGAGAGGCCAAGGGGGGCGGATCACTTGAGGTCAGGAGTTTGAGACCAGCCTGGCCAACATGGTGAGCACCCTCTGCCTACTAAACATACAAAAATTAGCTAGACATCGTGGCGCACACCTGTAATCCCAGCTTCTTGAGAGGCTGAGGCAGGAGAATCACTTGAACCTGTGAGTTGGAGGTTGCAGTGAGCCGAGATGGCGCCACTGCACTACAGCCTGGACGACAGTGCAAGACTGTGTCTCAAAACCCAAACCAAAACCAAAACAAAAAACTACAAAAATACTATTTCCTGGAGAAAGTCTTGGAAACTTTTTGTAGAATCTAGTATGTCATAATTGCTGATAACAAAAGTAAACCTGTAGCAGGTACCATTAAGGTGACCCCTGCATTTTTGTGTGTTTCAGGCAAGACTGTGATCTAATTAACGACTGCTGCTGCAAACACTACACAGGCCACCTCAACAAGTGAGTATCTTCGAGAACTGAAACTTTTAAGGAGAGTCCTTTGATTTGCTGTTTTTTTCTTTGCTTTGATGTTTGTCACCTATTTCCATATATTTAAAAATAGCTTTTTTCTCATTTGTGAAATATAATGATCTCTTCAATTAAATACAATATATGAATACATCCTTGGGAATTGATATTTTAGTAATGAGTGGAATAAAAAGAAAAATTAGGAGTGAAATTTTTTTGGTTTCAACCTTAGCAACCTTCAACTTCTCCAAGATAAGCATGGGGAGCTCAGGGGAATTTTAAAAATTATGTGTGTAGTGTTTCTGGGAACCTTAGCAACAGGGTGCCTGCAGAGAGCAACTTAGTGAATGTCTGTCTATCAGAGAAACATGAGTGTAGACAAGCCACTGTGGTCATACATAGGAAAAATTAATTCATTTCTCTTGAATTGACCAATACCTGCTTTGCACTAAGTATAGACATTCTAGATATGTATAAGATGCAAGTGGAGTGCCTGTCTTCTGAGGGAATATACACAAAAAATCTGTCAGGTAGCCCAACAAGAGGCCAGAAAGCATGGACTTGAGGCCATATACCCAGGGTCCCAGGAACTGCGATGATGGGCCAGGTCGTTTCCCCCTCCCACTTCTATAAAAGCGGGTATGGACACAGAATTTCCCTTACAGAGTTGTAGTAAGAATGAAATGAAATAATGTACCTAAAGCAGTTAGTGCAATAGCTGGCCTATCACCACCACTTCCTCAATTTGCTGCTGTTGTACTGATATAGTGTCATAATTATTATAATAATATGTATAAGTGCTGTAAGACCTCAAAAAAACCTCAAATAGCGTAATGATAAGAGAGATTGGAGAGCAGAGGATTAATTTTAAAGGAAAAAATATCAAGATTTGTGGTAACTTTTAGAATATAAGGGGGAGGAGAGGCATCAGCATTTAAGCCAAAATTTCTAACTTGAAAAAATTTGACTGGGAGATGTCGTTGAGTTTGAGGCGCTGCAGACAGTATGTATAAATAATCAGACGACAGCTATGGGAGCCTGATTTCTTGTTGCCCATTGGAGAATGAAAGTGTTGTAAAGAAAATATGGGAATTATTCTGATAATTGAATCGAGTCTGAGTAGGAGTTAATGCTTGAACAAATGAAATGGAGACTTTCCAAACTTTGATTATATATTATCATTTTCTATCCCAGAGACCATCAGAACAGACTTGTGTTTGGAATTGGTGATAAAATTTGTTGTACTAGGAATGCATACCTCTCAGACTTACTCCCTGAAAATATCTCTGGAAGTCAGCAAAATAATGATCTAGACACCAGTGGTGAAGACTTTTCTGGTACTCTTCATGATTTTGCTAAAAATAAGCATGACTTTGAAAGTAATGTTCGACTGTGCAATGGAGAAATATTTTTCATAACTAATGTAAGTGAAAACAGAAGATAATGTCTTTTAACTAATTAGAGATATATTTGGTTATTTTATTGTCCTAGGATTGATTCAGAATCTAATGATATCAGAGTTGACATTCTTGTTTCATGATTTTTTGTTAAGGATTTTGGGCATCCATTTTTATGAAGGATATGGGTAGTTATCTAGTAATGTCCCGTCTGGCTTTAGTATCAGAATAATGCTGGCCTCATAAAGTGAGTTGGGAAGTGCTGCTTCTTATATTTTCTAGAAGATTTTATGAAGAAACATTTTTAATAAAGTTAAAGTACTTGAGTAACAAAAAACAAGGCATAAACGAGACATATATTTTAAAAAGCATCATTTCCTTTGTTGCTGCTTAAATGTACAAACTATAGAAGTGGTTGCCATGTATTTATTTTCACAGTGTAGATACCCTCCTTGAAAGCTGTGAGGAAAAGTAAACTTTGCAAAGAATCTACTCAGACTTATGTAGTCAATATAAGAAATGAAATGTATAGATTTCAAAATAAGAAATAACAGACTGTTCTTCAGAGTCAAATTGAAGATAAGTTTCAAAGACTGAAAACTTATATTTGTGTTTGTTAAAATATTTGGGTATAGATATATTCAGTTTGTGCTGAAATGCAAATTTTAAGCCTTTTGAAATTCTTAATTGTAATTGTAATTCTTACATTTTATGTTTGACCCAAAGATAGAATATCTTTGAACGTATTTGAACGTAGAACATATTTGAAGATATGAAAAATAGTTCTTTGTTTTGGTGACAGGATGTAACTGATGTAACTTTTGGAATGAGAAGATCTTTGACCATTAATAATATGGCTGGCCTGGAAGTAACTGTGGATTTTAAGAAGCTGATGAAATATTGTCACATAAAACATGCATGGGCAAGAACTATTCACACTTTTCAGGTAAGAGGGGACTTTTATAAAACCCTTTAAATAATTTATCAACCTTACAGCACCTTGCATTGTTTTCGTAATTTTTTGTTGCACTTATTAGCAAACAAAAATTAGGAAACAAAATACACGAAAGTACAGAACATAATATAGAGATGCCAGCCTTTTGCTCTTTTTTGCTCCAGAGCTCTCTTTATTTTTAGAAATGAAGGCATTATAGGTAAAGTCTCCTCCTTCAGGTCTTCCCCTCCCTGCCTGAGTCTCCAGTATGGCTTCGCATGGCACTGTACTCATCTTATCTTTGGTTAAATTCTGATATTTTGTTCATCATGAATCCTTTTGTGCCTTACTTTTGATTTACAAAACTGTTACATTAAAATATCTTGATTTATCTTGATTGCCGAGTTTCTTGGCAACCCCTTAAATTTTGTACTGGAGGTGAGTTCCTCACTTGCCTTGCCCTAGTCCTGGGCCTGCCTTCCACCTTCCTCCGAAGTGACTTCTGCCCTGAATTTGGTATATATCACTCCTATTCATGTAGAAGCAATATATATGATTGTTTTCTGTGTTACTGAGGTTTATGTAAATGGTATCATCTTGTTTCTATACTTTTGCAACTAGCTTTTATTTTTTATTTTTGGCCTTATCAGCTTTGTGGGGTATAATTTACATACAGTTTCATTATAAAGTTGGATGAATTTTGACAAATGTATCCTCTCTGTCCATCTTTGTGAGGCAATCTTTCTTCTTTTTTTTCCCCCTAACTTAACGTGGGAATATTGTTAGGTTTACAGAAGAGTTGAATGATACGACAGAGAGTTTTCATATACCCTTCACCCAGCTTTCCCTGGTGTTTAACATTTTATGACTATGGCATATTCATCAAAACTAAGAAATTACTATTGCTGTAAGACTGCTGACTAAACTATGCATATTCGAATTGCACCAGTTTTTCCATTAATGTCCTTTTGCTGTTCTAGGCCAGCATATTGAGTTCAGTGCAACTTGCCTTTATGTTTTATTTTAATACGCTTGAATTCTCGTCTGTTATTAGTGACTCTGTTATGTATCTGTTTGTTTTGAGCTTCCTTCTCTGCTGTTGGTATGTTGCTTTAATGTAAAGGTTGCATCAACCCTCATTTTTCTTTATTTTGAGACAGTCTAGCTGTGTCGCCCAGGCTGGAGAACTGTGGTGCGATCTTGGCTCACTGTAAGTTCCGCTTCCCAGGTTCAAGTGATTCTCCTGCCTCAGCTTCCCGAGTAGTTGGGATTATAGGCGCATGCCACCACGACTGGCTAATTTCTGTATTCTTAGTAGAGACAGGGTTTCACCATGTTAGTCAGGCTGGTCTCAAACTCCTGACCTTGTGATCCACCCATCTCGGCCTCCCAAAGTGCTGGGATTATAGGCAGGAGCCACTGCACCTGGCCCAACCCTCATTTTTGTGCAGAAAAATTTAGGTCAGCCCAAATTTTCTACTAGTAAGCAAACATTAATTAGCATAGAGTTTTTTTTTTTTTTTTTAAGTGGGTAGGGCTTTATTTATTAACTTATCCCATCTTGGTTCCAAAAAGAATTTGAAATGGCTTATTAAAAATGCCCACAATTCACCTGATTTTTTTTTTTAAGGTAAAAAAGGGTGGGGTATGGTGGCTCATGCTTGTAATCCCAGCACTTTGGGAGGCCAAGGTGGGTGGATCATCTGTGGTCGGGAGTTCAAGACCAACCCTGGCCAACATGGCAAAACCCCATCTCTACTAAAAAATACAAAAAAAGTAACTGGGCATGGTGGTGGGCACCTCTAAACCCAGCTACTCGAGAGGCTGAGGCATGAGAATCACTTGAACCTGGGAGGCAGAGGTTGCAGCAAGCTGAGATTGTGCCACTGCACTCCAGCCTGGGCAACAGAGGGAGACTCCATCTCAAAAAAAAAATATATATACACACACACACACACACACACACACGTATATATATGTATGTATAGAAAGGATGTCAAGTGAAAAATAAAGTTAAAGATGATAAAACAGTTCTTGCCAGGGGTGGTTGGAATGCAGCCATACCCGCTTCCCTGTTTGCTAATGTCGATTGCAGATTTGGCTTTAAGTTTCCTTAAGACCAGAGTTCCCCAGGTAAAGACAGAGTAATATTCCTGGCTCGGGTCCTGAAGAAATTTCTTCCATGGATTCTATGATGCCATCTTTCACCTTTAGGAAATTTTCTTGTTCTCAGTTTCTTCTGTTCTGTCTCTCTAGAATTCCTAATATGTGCATATTAGACTTCCAGAATTTGTTACCTAAATTTCTTATCAAACTGTCCTCTTTTCCTTCTCATTAACTTTGCTCTATTTTCTGAGAGATTTCCTTAAATTTACAATCCAGTTTTTCCGTAAGAACGAATGAAGAGTAAAGGTGTCTTTATTATTACTGGGTTGAGGTTGGAGTAGATATTCTGGTTCTTATTTCATGGTTGAAGTAGCATCTCTTAGCTCTAAGAGCATTCATGATTCATGATTGTTATCTTTCTTTTTTTTTTTTGAGACGGAGTCTCGCTCTGTCGCCCAGGCTGGAGTGCAGTGGCAATCTCCGCTCACTGCAAGCTCCGCCTCCCGGGTTCACGCCATTCTCCTGCCTCAGCCTCCCGAGTAGCTGGGACTACAGGTGCCCGCCACCACGCCTGGCTAATTTTTTATATTTTTAGTAGAGACAGGGTTTCACCATGTCAGCCAGGATGGTCTCCATCTCCTGACCTCGTGATCCACCCGCCTTGGCCTCCCAAAGTGCTGGGATTACAGGCGTGAGCCACCGCGCCCAGCCCACGATTGTTATCTTATATCAACACACTGTTTCTTCCAAGTTCAATTCAGTTCAACAAATCCTTACTGAGTCAGGCTCTGTTCTTGGTGTTTAGTATAGGTCAGTGTATACAACAGACAAAGATTCTTGCCATTGTGAAGCTTAAATTTGGTGGGAAAGGGCATAGAGACAGACACGATCATAAAAATACAGAAAATAAAAACAAAAACGAGAACAAAAACTCTTTGTTATGTTAGAAGGTAGCAAATCCTGTGGAAAAGAGGTGGGAGTGGGTGCAATTGTGATTTTAAATAGAATGTCGGTGTAAGCCTCATTGAGAAGATAGCATTTTATCCAAAGACTTAAAGAAGGAAAAGAAGTTAGCCATGTGAGTATCTGGGACAGGAGCATTCTAGGTTGAGGAATAGCCAAGGGCAGGGTTCTAAGGTGAGAGTCTGTCTGGTATAGTTGAGGAGCAGGAATAGCAAGGCAGCCACTGTAGGAGACTGACACGAAATGAGACAGGAAAATTAATATGAGGTAAAGAGGGTAGGAGGATGGTGGGGCCAGGTCACCTCCTAGAGCATTTGAAGGCCTGCACTATCTAGTATGTTAGCCACTAGCTGCGCATAGCTATTGAGCACTGGAAATGTGGCTAGAGTGACTGAAAAACTGAATTTTAATTTAAAAACTGGATACTAGGCTGGGCACAGTGGCTCACACCTGTAATCCCAGTATTTTGGGGTGCTGAGGTGGGCGAGTCATTTGAGCCCAGGAGTTCAAGACCAGCCTGGGCAACATAGTGAAACCCCATCTCTACAAAAAATACAAAACATTAGCCAGACATGGTGGCATGAACCCATAGTCCCAGCTACTCAGGGAGCTGAGGTGGGAGGATCACCAGAGCCTGGGAGCTGGAGGCTGCAATAAGCCGAGATTGCACCACTGCATTGCAGCCCAGGTGACAGAGTGAGACCCTGTCTCAAAAACAAAAACAAATAAACAAAACAAAAGTTACTAGATACAGTCATTGGAAAACTTCTGTATGTTGGAAAAACTATGTTTGGAACAACTTGGGTGTGTGAATCTTCTTTTTCAACTACAAATTTTATGAACTCTAGAAATAGATTAAGTATTTCTGATGAAAATTTAGTATCCAAATTGTACTGTTCTGGGTATATGAAATATAGAATTTCAAAGGTGTAGTCTTTTACTAATAATTTAATATTGATTATATTTTAAAATGATAATATTTTGGATATGTTAGCTTAAGTAGAATACAGGTATATTATTAACATTAATTCTATCCATTTCTTTTTTAATGAGACTACTAGAAAATTTTAAGCTACATATATGACTTGTTTATATTTGTATTAGACAGTGCTATTCTAGACTATTTTAAGGACTTTGGCTTTTACTCTGAGTGAAATGGGGAGCTGTTGAAGGTTTTGTGGCTCTTCATACAAGTTGTTGAGTTGTAGAACCAATTTATAGAAT